AGAAATTTATTCCTCCTGATTATGAAGTGTGGGGACTCTAAGATCAAGGTGCCGACAGACTCGGTGTTTAGTGACGGCCCACCACTTCCTCATAGATGGTGGACTTCTCAGTGTCACCTCACATGTTGGAAAGGGTGAGGGATCCCTCCGAGGTATCTCTTATAAGGGTGTTCACCCCATTCATGAGTGCTGGGACTATTTATCTCCCAAAGGCCCACCTCCTAATACTAACGTGAGGGGTAGGAGTCTAACATAAATTTGGTGGGGGGGACATACACATTTCAGTCCATTTTATTCCATCCGTGGTCTCCCAAAACTTAAGTCCTTCACACATACAAAACACATTCACTTATCCCAATAGCCACCCCCCCCATCTTGACTCAGGCCAGCATGAACTCAAAAATCTAAAGTCCAAAGTTCAAGCAATGTGTATATTCCAGTAGGAAGGGGCAGGAGGGAGAGGGGGCACCAGCAGCTGACCTCTTGGGTGTTGAGTGCTTGCATTGAGTGTGGAAGGAGCCAACCTAGAGCGTCAGTACCGGGTACAGTGAGAGTAACTAGCCCAAACAGTGGTTGAAAAAGTGTTAAAGGGTATGAAGAATGAAAGTTTGCTGTGAAGACCATGAAGTGTTGGAAGAAAGGAAGGAAGGAAGGAATGAAAGAAGGAAGGAAGGAAAATTTTACTGCTGTATTTATCTTCTAATCCTAATGCCCCAGAAGGCCTAAAAGCAGAGTTTGGCATCCCCTCAATGCAATAGCCATTGACCCATAATAAAATTCTTAGCTAAGGAGCTTTTTGCCATTAGCATGTCCAGAATAGTAAGCACTTGATTTGTAAACACCATAGGCGCTAACAGGTCTATCCCATCTGTTGAACTCACAAGCCCAGAGGCAGAATAGTTTCTTATACACCAGGGCTGAACCCTACACCAGGGAATATTTCCATATGTCAAAATACTAGTGGACTTCCCAGGAAGAGGAAGATGCTGGGCGGCTCGGAGTACCTAGGTCAGCTCACGGGACTGACCTACAACGGCAAATGTAAGTGACACAGAGAGGAAAGGTTCAAGTTAGGTCTTCACACAGGCCTTGCTTAACTTCCCAAACTAAGGTGCCCCCTCAGATCGTTTATCATCTATCTCCTCCCCTGCCTAATTCCAGAGAGCAGGGATTCTTTTTGGTGTCTTGTGTACAGTTGTAAATCTAGAATCCTGAACAGTCTTAAGTCCCATAACAGAGGTTCTAAACCAACCCATTGAACGCCTTCTCATTCACTTACCTATTTTTCTCGCTTTAATATTACACAGATCACATAGTCCCCACTTTTTGCCTTGTCTTTCAAGTGTCTGTCCTGGGAATAGGAGGAGAATGTTTGTGAATTGTTAAAGTATGTATTAAAAATTTAAATTCAAATGAATAATCTTTTAGGGATGTTTGGGCCAAACTGAAGCTAGTATGTAAGAATATATTATCTTTGTAAAACCAAGTGACAAGGCAGTGATTTTTAAACTTTAACTCTGCTAAGGCCATTTGTACTGGCATATTCCCTGTTTGTCATGTAGGATTTTTCTTTGAATATGTTCAAATGCTTAAACCATGAAGAGGAAACATCATGCCATATCATTTGTGGAGAAGATGGTTCTGCAAACAACAGGCCATTGCCACACATTCCCAACATCATTATCACTGGGCACTCTCCTCTCTTTATTTATTTATTTTATTTTTTATTTTTAAATTATTTTTGGGATTTTTTTTAAAAATAGAGTCTCATTTTGTTGCCCTGGGTAGAGTGATGTGGCATCAGCATAGCTCACAGCAACCTTAAACTCTTGGTCTCAAGCTATCCTCTTGTCTTAACCTGCTGAGTAGCTGAGACTACAGGCATGTGCCATCGTGCCTGGCTAGTTCTTTTTCTATTTTTAGTACAGACAGTGTCTCTCACTCTTGCTCAGGCTGGTCTGGAACTCCTGAGCTCAAGCAATCCACCGGACTTGGCCTCCCAGAGTTGCTAGGCTTACAAGTGTGAGCCACCACACCTGGCTTCTCTCTCTTTTTTAATCTAAAATATTTTTAGAAAATTCTGCTCTTAGATAGCTGTGTTTAGTGTTTTGAGATCTGAAACTTCATCAAATTTAATATTCACAAACATTTCTAAGAACACAGGGTTTTGACATTAGCTTGGTAGTTGAGATAAGTCTAATACGGAGGAGATAGAGCCACTGGCAAAACTCTTGAGAGATCCACTAGAGGGCAGAAAAATGTAAATCAAAATTTAAATTGGACCCAGAAAGGCTGATAGCAAAATGTACATTACAAATAAGATTTCATAAACCCAAAAAATTCAAATTAGTTCAGTGACGTAAAATAATTGCTGTATAAATGTTTCTACTTTCCTGGAAATAGTAGTGCAAAGACTCATGAGATTGAAGGGGAAGGTGAGAACAGAACTGGTCTAGTCCCAGATTTTTTACCAATTCTGTGATTTAGGGCAATCTAAAATTTGTCTCGTTGGTCCACATCTATAATATATAAATTTGCACCAAATTAGTCTTAAAGTTTTTTTTCAATTCTAAACTTCCATGATTTTACAATTCGTGATTCAATTTCAGTCCTTTTAAAAATCTTTTTGATTTGATCAACCATAGTTTGGCATTAAAAGAGATTCTGTTTGGAAATAATCACCATTATTTCATGGAAAATTTAGGCCCCCCCCCAAATGTGCTGATTAACCTTCTTGGAGAAATCTACTTAATAAAATGACATGTATATAATCTAGTGACCATAGTGATTGCAACATTTTATGGAATAAGGTTTTGCTATCTGTATCAGCGCAATCTATTTTTACTTTTAAAAAATCCAGAAAAATAAAAATTCCCAATGATGTTATACACAGTCAAGTTATTTTCTCTCTTTATTTTCCTTTTGAAGTACTACATTTGTGAAGTCAGTAGTAGTTACCCCTACCAAAATTCTAAAATCACGAAGTGGGTTGGACATTAAAAAAAATGTTGACTTGAGGGCTAAGAAATAGTGACTGAGCAGATAGAAAAGTACATTAGCTCTGAACAACTGTGCACCATCATTCATTTGGTCAACCACTGCAAGCTTCTGGATATCACTGATTTTGATAAACTCAAAGAATTCATACTATTCTTCACAGTTGTTCAATTGTCATTATTGTAAATGCTCATTGCAATAATCCATACTCAGTTTATAGCTGATTTGTGACTGAAACTGGAACTGGTTTCTAAATAGCATTTTTTTTTTGGAGACAGAGCCTCAAGCTATCCCCCTGGGTAGAGTGCCGTGGCATCACTCACAGCAACCTCCAACTCCTGGGCTCAAGCGAGTCTCCTGCCTCAGCCTCCCAAGTAGCTGGGACTACAGGCGCCCGCCACAATGCCTGGCCATTTTTTGGTTGCAGCCATCATTGTTGTTTGGCGGGCGGGGCTGGGGATTTGAACCCGCCACCTTAGGTGTATGTGGCTGGTGCCTTAGCTGCTTAAGCCACAGGCCCCGAGCCCTAAATAGCATTTTTCATGAGCACCAATGGATAAAATTGTCAAAAAAATTAGTGGAAAGAGAAACCATTTTTGAATCCAGACTGATAATGTGCCACATATTTACATATTTTCAACTTTTCCAACCCTCAGTTAGGACACATTTTCCTCCTATATACGTAATAAAGGAAGAAATATGCCTACCTGCCCACGAATGTGAGGGATGAAAGATATTCATCTGTTAAAACATAGGATTATTAGATCTATTATTATTATTATTTTTGAGACAGAGCCTCAAGCTGTCCCCTTGGGTAGAGTGCTGTGGCATAGCTCACAGCAACCTCCAACTCCTGGGCTCAAGCGAGTCTCCTGCCTCAGCCTCCCAAGTTGCTGGGACCACAGGTGCCCCCCACAACGCCTGGCTATTTTTTTGTTGTTGTTGTTGCAGCCATCATTGTTGTTTGGCGGGTCCAGGCTGGATTCAAACCCGCCACCTTAGGTGTATGTGGCTAGTGCCTTAGCCACTTGAGCCACAGGTGCCCAGCCAGATCTATTATTATTATCATCAGAAGCCAGAGGTAGAACCATGTTCTGTGTATGCCCCAGACTGCTAGCCCCAGCAGATTAACTCTCCTGGTGCTAATACAGCTGGCGTCCCTGTTTCTATGAGTGTGAGGCTGGTTAGCTTACTCCTCAGACTCACCAGCTCATTTCAAGGCCTGAAGTCATCATCATGAGGTAATAAATTACTCGTTTCAGCCTATTTGTTTTTTCACTAGAGGGTGAGGAATGTGAAAAGACACCAACCTCAGCCTCCATCATTTCAGAGGGAAGCTGAACAATCTCACAGCTTTAATGAGACGAGCCCTTTAGAGAATGTGGTATTAATGAGTAGTGAGTGAAATACTACGTGCCTGGGTAAGCACATGCTAACTCTGGTTTTTATTCTGTGCCTCAACATTCTCATCTATAAAAGGGGTATAGAAGTGCCTACTTTTTAGGGTTGTTTTAAGAAGTAAACAGATTAAAACTTGTAAAACTACTACGATTATTTAAACTTAGAACATTAAAATGGTTTCATTTTCTGCAATGCTTTTCTTTAAGCAAGATGCAGCTTAGAGACTCTGATTGAAGTCTCTACTAATTCATTGTTGACCTTGGAAAAGCGACTTCACCCTCTAGGCCTCATTTTCTTATCCAGGGTCGTAATGCTTTAAAAGTATTAAGCGCTTTAAAATGGTTCAATGGATCTCCTGGAATGAACCAACTTTGAAATGAGGATATTGGAGCAAATAGATTGCTAAGACACGTTCTACTTCTAACACTTCACATAATAATTTCCCAACAGGAGGGTGTGGAACACATGATATGATTGACTATCTACATTGGGAACCCCGACAGAACACCACTCTAGTTGCTGGCAGTTAATCCAGTATCATCTCTGCCAATATGAGACTGAAAAAAAGGCCTGACGAGGAAAAAAAAAATACACGTTTATTTTATACAAAGCGGCACCCAGCGGGGAGACCCCCAGCAGGCGGGAGGCGCCCCTAGGGAGGCCCGAAGCCCTCAGAGCAGCAGGAGGGAGCCCAGCGGCAGCTCGCCCTGGCCCAGCAGGCGGCCGCGCTCCAGGCCCCGGCCCTTGCCCTCGGCCTTGACGCGCACGGCCAGGCGGCGCACCTGCTCCTCCGTGAGCCCGTCGAAGCAGAAGTCCTGGTCCAGGGCGGCCTTGCGGCTCCGCCGGAGCACCGAGCCGCGCTGCCTGCGCGCGCTGCGGGGCGGCTGCAGGACCAGGCTGACGCGGCAGCCGACGGCCCGGGGATCGGGGGCGCCCCCGGCCGGGCCCTCCGCGCGGAGTAGCCGGATGCGGAGGCGCCCGCCGGCCGGACAGTACTCGGCGGCCAGGCGCAGGGCGTCCCCGGTGCGGCCCAGAGCCACGGTGCCTTCGGCTTCCAGGCGCTCAGGGCGGGGGCCGAGCGGTGACGGCGGGCGCTCGGAGGGCGCTCGGGCGAGGGACCTCGAGCAGGCGCCGCGCTCCGCGTCCTCGTCCCAGCCGGAGACCGAGCGGGCGCGGACCAGACCGTGATTCCTTCCGGCCCACAGCGCGCGGCTCAGCAGCCCGTCGGGGGCGCGCAGGAGGCGGCGGCCGCGGGGCGGCGGGGAGAGTGAGTCCATCCGGGGGTTGGTGCCGCCGAGGACTGCGGAGGTGACCTCAGGGTCTGGTCTCAGGGTTAAGAGGGAAGAGTCTCGACCACCGCCACTGTAGGTGTGGGCCCGGGGGCGGAGCGCGGGCCGGGTCGTCGGGGGCTGGAGGAGCGCGGTGGCGCCCGGGTCCCCGAGGAAGAGCGACTCCTTGCGGCGGGTGTGCGGGGTCTCGAGCAGCGCGCAGAAGCCGTAGGCGGTGCGCGCTCGGGGCAAGTGCAGCAGCGACAGCGCCGCCTGCGAGCGCGGGTCCCAGTCGGTGCGGCCAGCGCCTTGGTCAATCTCTACCTCTTCACCCCGGGAATTCCGGATCGCAGCCAAAGCCAGGCCGGGTACGAGTCGCGGTGGGATGCAGAACTCGGGTATGCGGTCCGGCGTGAGCACGTTTGCACACGCGGCGGTGGTGTGGACCCTTGCTCTGCGGGCCCAACCCAGAAGAAGCCAGTCCCCGCCCCGCCGGAGGCGCTCAGGACCTAAGCAGAGCTTCTCCAGGCACCACATCTGGCGACAGGTGCGGGATCAGGGCAACCCTCTGCTGAATCTTGTCTGCCTGCAACACACAAACAGGCTGATCATTATAGGGAGATCTGAAGAATGCAGTAATTACTATCCTTTGCCTTCTACTTTCGGGGTTTTCCTCTTGTCCCTCCGGGGGAAGGCAAAGGACACCTCACGCCCCAACTGCAAACTATTTTGCAGTGATTTACAAACAATGGTTTTTCTCCTTTCCTTTCTCAACCCCTTACCACGTACACTTCAGAACTTGTTGCTTTAGTTTCCATTCGCCCTCGCCTCTCAAAATGTTTCAGTACGACCAAAATTATAAACCAATATTCTTCGGTGTTAAGCTCTTTGTGCAATGGTTTCCTGAATCCTAGGACTGCTGGCGGTTTAGTGAGAATTAAAACAATAACTATTTACCCCTCCAGGAAACTGTGACTTTTTCTTTTTTCAGAGGCAAAGAGCCTGAGAGGACCCCCTCAGGGAATTAAGATTGGCAACGGGTCCCTCCTACTGTACCTGACGTCCGCGGTCTGATGGGTCTCCGCAGGGTTCTTCCTGGAGCACTGACCCCGAGAGCCGCGTATCCTCCGCGAAATTCAAAGCGCGCGGGGTGGTGGGGTTCAGCACCCGCGTTCTAGGACAGCTGGTGTGAGTCTTTATACCCACTGCCGGCAGCGCCTGCCAATGAGTCCGCGGGAGCCGCGCTGCCTGGTAACCTGATGCCAGGCCCTCCCCTTTCCCTCTGCCACGTGTCTGGATCTGCGGAACAAATTCAGAAGGCCCAGTTCCCCCCCCCCCCCCGCCTCCTTTCTTGCTTCAGGTGGAGGTATTAACCTTGGAAACTCTGAACAAGTTTCCTTTCGTGCAAAAAAAGGTTTAAGCCTTGATTATATCGAAGAGTCATTGTGAAGATCAATGGACATAATCCATGTGAATGCGTAGAAGCATGCTACATCCACTTTAAAATGAAGACAAAAGTTGGGTTTGTCTTTTCTTACCTAATACTCTTTCCCCAATCTGGCCTAACCATTGGGCACCTTTCTAAGTGCTTTACTTGCTTTCTGATTTTTAGTTCTGATTTTAGATGTTTCTCTATTGATTAAAAACCACTCTCAGGGGAACTTCATGGAGGATGGGAAACGTTCTATATCTTAATGTGGGTGGAGTGGATTTGTAAAAAAAAAAATCACATAGTATGCTGCACTTAAGATTGGGGCACTTTACTGTATGTTATACCTCATTTTAAAAATAGCAGCCTACTTCTTAAGCCATGTGTGCTGACTTGTGGACTGCGAACATTTACCCTTGCATCTGTCTAGGCCAGGGGTCCTCAAATTTTTTAAACAGGGGGCCAGTTCACTGTCCCTCAGACCATTGAGAGGGCTGGACTGTGGGCCCTGGGACGAGTTGGCTGCTAAGCAGGACAGGCATGGGCGGCAATAACACCTGGCCATCTGGATAAATGTCCTAGGCGGGCTGCATGTGGCCCGCTGGCCGTAGTTTGAGGACACCTGGTCTGGGCTGTTGGAATCACCTTTTGGAGGTACCGTGGCTACATCTGGCTTTTCTAGGACATGCCCATCTAAGAGACCTTTCTCTTTCCTTTTGCAAACTAACCTGTGTTCGTTCTGTAAGAGTTGCTTCCAGCTAGCTCAGGCTGGAAAAGATCTGAGGCATTTTGTTTAAGGTTTCAGTGTATGCTATTTCTGCTTAGGGTACTGCCTTGCAAACTCATTTCTCCACTAAATGATTTTTTTTTTTTTTTTTGAGACAGAGTCTCACTATGTCGCCCCAGGTAGAGTGCTATGACGTCACAGAAAACAGCAACCTCAAACTCTTAGGCTTAAGCGATTCTCTTGCCTCAGCCTCCCAAGTAGCTTGGACTATAGGTGCCTGCCACAATGCCAGGCTATTTTTGATTGCAGTTGTCATTGTTGTTTAGCTGGCCTGGGCCGGGTTTGAACCTGTCACCCTCAGTGTATGTGGCTGGTGCCGTAACCACTGTGCAATAGGTATCAAGCCTCCATTAAATAATGTTTAATGAATTAAATTGAATTCATGATAGGTCATGTCCATTTTGTTTCCAGGACAGATAGACACTGCTAAATGATTTACTTATAGTTTCTAGAATTGTTACAAATTCTGATTATTCCTATTTTATAGATGAAAAACTGAGTTTCAGAGATCAACTACCTTATCTTAATGCGAGTTGGAGAAAGTAATACCCATTAGTGGGTATAAATGAGTTGTTCTGAGAATTGAATTAATAGTGCAAAATATTTTGTACAGTGCATGGAACACAGTGCTGAATAATAATAATAATCATAAAGATAGAAGGGAGTTTTGGAGTACAGTAGTTAAGAAAACTGAGTCTAGAGTGAGATCTATCTTTGATTCCAGAATGGTAGCTCACTATGTGACCTTGAGCAAGTTCCTTAAACTTTCTAAGCCTCAGTATCAAGTGTAACATTTGTAATAGTATCTACTTTTAGAGTTGCCACGAATATAAAATAGGATAACACATATGAAGAGTTTAGCATAGAGCCTGAAATGCACAATGTTGGATATTGCATTACTATTACAGAAGAGAGCAAATGCTCATTAAATAATTAATTCAGAACAATATTTATGAAATGCTTTCTGGGTTCCGGCCACCATGATAGGTGTATCCAGGCTGTACGAGATCATATTGGCTGTGTAAATCCATCAGAAGAGGAACGAAATGATTAGGATTAAACATTTGAATTCCATCTGGGTAAAGCAGGAGTGAGAAGAGATGATTGAACATTCTCTCTATATTTAGTCTAGGAGGCAGGATTGGTGGGGTTCAGGGTTTACCACACCTGTGACTAGCTACTCCTTTGACTTAATTTCACCTCCACCCCTGGCTAAAATTCTTGGGCTAGGCCTAAATCTATGCAACTATGAGTACCAAATTGTATACTTGAGGCAATGTGTGTGTGTTCTGACTCAATCTTTTTCAGCAGACAGGATGCTATTAGGTCTGTAAGAGGACAGATTGCCCTTGGTTACAATAATGAGAAGCGCAGATCAGAGCTCATAGTTTAAGTTGGCTGATAAGTTGTTAAGCAAGTTAATAAACCTGTTTGAGCCCAAGTTATGAAATAATGGTAATAAGAGCTACCAATCTTAGATTGTTGTGAGGGTTGAAAAGATATGCCTGAAAAACGCTTTCCACACAGTTAAGGGCTGGCCAACAGTCAGCTATTATTATTACCATTATTATTATTATGAATGTTTAACCAAGGATTAGCTGATTCACACATGGCTTCCTTTAAAAACATTTCTCTCCTTAGCCAAGTGAAGCAGATTGGCTTTGGTTTTATTAATAATTCACCTTGTTCCGAAACACCTCAATAGTATTTCCTGTATATGATATCTTGAAAACAGCAGAGCTATGCCCTTGCTTGGTTGGTCTCCTGTAACCACATTAAGCCTTATGTTTTACTTAACTTGGAAGCATAAGCAATCCAGTACTTGGGAGGATGGTGTAACAGGGTCAGGAATACACAGATCTGCTCAGAGGAAGACTGCTCATTCCAAACTCACAGATGTTGCCACGGTAATGGAGCTGGAAAACAATTCTGTGAAGTGAGTAAATACGCAGATCACACACCTTCAAGGCAGAAGTGCTCACAATGTAAAAGGAGACTTAACACTTTAAAGCAGACTTACAAAAGCGTTACATAGGCACTTGAAGGTCAAGGAGACCAAGAACAGAGCTTAAGACCAATAAACTACTGGTATTCTGATATGCATCGCATTCAACACAACTAGAGAATGGAATGCCCAGGGAACAAAGGAAATGAATATCTGCTGTGTGATTCTGGGTAAGTCACTGAACGTTCTTAGCTTAATTTTTCTATAAAATGGGAACAGTACTGCTACCTGCAGTACTTACCTCATAGGTCTTTTGTGAAGATTACATGAAAATGCCTACCTTGACATAATAAGGTAGCTCTTGAGGTATAACTGAAACATAATAAAATGGAATGATACATATAAAAGCACATTTATACATTTTCAACATTGAAAAAACCATAGCAGGCGGTGCCCATAGCTCAGTGAGTAGGGCACCGGCCACGTCCACCCAGGCTGGTGGGTTTGAACCCAGCCGGGCCAGCTAAAACAACTGCAACAACAACAAAAAAATAGCCGGGCGTTGTGGCAGGCACCTGTAGTTCCAGCTACTTGGGAGGCTGAGGCAAGAGAATTGCTTAAGCCCAGGAGTTGGAGGTTGCTGTGAGCTGTGATGCCAGGGTGACAGCTTGAGACTATTTCAAGAAAAAAAAGCCATAGAGCTGTAAGGAGTTACTGTCTTATACAAGGCATTGGTATTGCTTACTTCTCCCAAAAGATTGTACTTTGATTTCCACTGGCTTGATGTTGTCATACTGCTTGTGCTGGGGTTTTTTTTTTTTTTTTTTTGTAGTTTTTGGCTGGGGTTGGGTTTGAACACACCACCTCTGGCATATGGGGCCACAGGCACCGCCCTGCTTGTGCTGTTTTTGAAATTGTCTTACACTGTTATTCATACATCCTTGCAGCAGTCTATTTCTTAGGATGCATGCCTATCTCAACCAGAACAGATTCCTTTACGTTCATCTCAGTGTGAGCTAATGGAGAAAGAGGAACTGTTATGGGAGGTGACTAGGAAGAACTTGGGGACAGATTGGAGAGGGTGTTCTAAACAGTGGGAAGTTACTGCATGTTTTTGAGGTGATTAACCTAAGCTCATCTGTGCTTAGGAAACTAACTCTGGTGACAGCATGAAGAACAGATTGGAAGAAGAAAAATGGGTGTAGGAGGAGACCAGTTGCAAGGTGACTGCATGGTCCAGGGAAGAGGACACCAGGAGAATTTAGGAAATACAGCAAAAGCAAAATTGCTGTGGTTGGTAATTTGCTGTGGTTAGTGAAGAAGTCTGAAGTTCTTCCCAGGTATTTTCTCTGAGACCTGCTAGAATAAATAAAGGGTAAACGATTCATTTTCTGTGTGCCAGAGTTTAAGATGAAAGTGGATATGGATACATGGTTAGTACTAGTGCTTTGTACCTTCAACTTCACATAACACCAATTATAGCCATTGATTTTTTTTCTTCAATAGACTTCAAATTTATGTTTTTGTTTTTTTGGATATAGTCTGTCACTCAGGGTGCAGTGCTGGGGCATCATAGGTCACAGCAACTTCAAACTTTTGGGCTCAAGCGATCCTCTCGCGTCAGCCTCTGGAGTATTTTAGACTACAGGCGGCCGACAGCGCCCTGGTTTTTCTATTTTTAGTAGAGACAGGTTTTGCTCTTGCTCAGGCTGGTCTCCAACCCCTGTGCTAAGGCAGTCCACCTGCCTCTACCTCCCAGAGCTAGGATTACCGGTGTGAGCCACTGTGTGCTGCCTTAAGATAGGTTTTTTTGTGTGTGTGTGATGCTGCTGCACAACCCTAGGCTGTTTAAAAACAATAGTCTCTTACTCTACTTTAGTAAAGCATTTAATAGATGCCTATGACTACAAATAATTAGGTTTCTGTATACTTTTCCTTTTTGAAATATGTTTTAGAAAAAATTTCCTGTCTCTAAAGAAGCACATTTCTTTCTTTTTTTTAGAGACATAGTCTCACTTTGCCGCCCTCGGTAGAGTGCTGTTGCGTCACAGCTCACAGCAACTTCCGGCTCTTGGCCTAGGCGATTCTCTTGCCTCAGCATCCCGCCACAACGCCCGGCTATTTTTTTGTTGCAGTTTGGCCAGGGCCGGGTTCGAATATGCCACCCTCAGTATATGGGGCCAGAGTCCTACTCACTGAGCCACATGCGCCGCCCTAAAAAAGCACATTTCATTGGGTGCTTTTGAAAGCATCAGAGACAATTCAGTGTCAGCATGGAAAAAAGTGCTATATAACTACCAGGTTACTTAGGAGGAAAAATAAGAACTACTATGCTTATTCATTTTTTTCGCCGTGGGGTAGTTAATTATTTAGTCACTAAGAGCGAATATTAGATGAGGGTGCAAAAGAAGTTTCCAACAACATGCATATTCAGTTCTCGTTCTATCTGCCATTCTGATGCGGTTCGGTTCTCCTCCTCCCCCGAATTAAATTATTAGTGAGTTTTCAATCAGCCGGAGATCGTGTCCCAGGCGGAGTCCAGCTCTTGCAAGACAAGAATGCAGAATCTCCCTTCCCCACCCGATCCACAGATGAAAGGGTGCTCGTTTAGCAGACGCGAGCCCGGGGACAGCTGGGTCGCCGCCGGGTCGGCTCCGGGCAGGGGCTGCACGCTGTTTTCACCCGGGCGGTGGGCTCTGCGGTTCTGAAGTCCACGGCGGGGGACGTCGCGGAAGCCGCGGCCACGTAGATGTCCCCGAGCTTACTAACTCCTGCTGTCTCTTTTTATCTTCAATGTCCTTTTCCTGTGGTGTAGGCCGCTCCAGCGCGGCTGCCCGGACGCGCCTCCTGTGCCCACCTGGTCCCCCACCCGCGCGGGCCAACGCGCCCCTCCGGCCCGGGCGGCGGCGCGCCTGCGCACTGGCGGGGTCACGCGCACGGCGCGGGGCGGGCCGGCGCCCGAGGGGCTGTCATTCGCGGCGCGGGTCGCCGCCCTCAGCTGCGCAGGGCGGTTCCGGCTCCTCCTCCTGCTGCCTCAGTCCCACCATGGTGCTGGAGTCGGTGGTCGCGGACCTGCTGAACCGCTTCCTGGGGGACTATGTGGAGAACCTGAACAAATCTCAGCTGAAGCTGGGGATCTGGGGCGGTAAGCGAGAGGGGCGCGGTTGCGGGCTGCGGGCGCCGGGGGCCCACGCCGCGGACTCCTCCTGGGGGTTCCTGCCGGGCCCCGCTCTGTCAGCCGCCCGAGACTCCGCCTCCGGGAGGGCGCCCGGCGGGGCCCCCTCGTGGTGCGACAGGTGTAGGGTGCCGGGGGCCTCCCGGGGTGCCGGGGTCCCGGCCCGGGGTGGGGACCTGCGGCGGGATCACGCCCGCGCCGAGCCCGCACCTTTCCTGTCCCTGAGGCCAAGCCCTTACCCTGCCCATCTCTGGGTATCCCCTCTCCCGCGTACGCAGCATGGCCCCTTTGGCTCCCCAGCATTAAAATGAAAGCCCTTTCTGCTTTAGTACTGCGCGGAGTGAGCGCGTTTGTCTGTTACCTACGCTCAGAAAAAGTGGCACCAGGGAAAAAGAAAAAGGAAATTGCGTCTTGCAGTTCTCTTATCATTTTTTAGGGAGCAAGAACAGGGGTCCTTCTCTTTAGGGTTGGAGAGGATAGGCAGGAGATCTTTCAGAAAGGTCTGACTTTATTCTTCCGCATCCGAGAAAGTGATTTTTTTCCCCCTGCGAAGAGGACTTTTCAAGCGTTTTTTGGGAGCAGCAGAGAAAAAGTCAAGCCTTAGACCAGTATTGTCTGCTTGGTTGCATGCCCAGTAATTGATGCCAACGTTTTTATCCTAAGAGATTAAGGGTTTAGAGGTAGATAAAAATATGCTTGCACGTTCTTCAAAAAGCTTATTTGCACGAATTATGTGTTAAGTTTTGGGGACATTGCGGGTACTTTCTCTCTCCACTAGAGGTTTGCGAATTTTGTGAGCTTTTGAGGGAAATCTAAAAAACTACTCCTGTGGAGGGAACAGATAGCTGCCCATGGGGTAGCCACTGTAGCTATTGAGCACTTGAAAGGTTATCAGTGGGAATTGACTCCTGCTATTACTGTAAAATGTGCACTGTTTCGAATATAAATATTTCTCCTAATGAAGTGGGAGAGTAAGAATGCATACTCCATTAATGATTTTTTAATATTGATTATGTGTTGAAATGGTAATATATTGGGCTCAGTTAAATATATTAAAATTCATTTCCCCTGTTTCTTTTTACCTTTTTTAAAACCTGACTCCTAAAATTTATTATCATGTATGTGGACCATATCCTACCTGTTTATATTGGGCAGTGCTGTTACAGAAGCGTGAACGTTGCTCTGAATTGTAGGAGGCTGTTTTTAATACGTCATTGACCGTTTGATTGGTTTCCTGTGATTTGTGGAACTTGGTGGCATTCCCTTGTTATACTTGGGGGTTGAGGATTGATTCCAGGACCCAGTTTAGGGTATCAAAATTGAAGGATGCTCAAGTCTCTTATGTAATATAAAATGGCTTAGTATTTGTTTATATATTATGCACATCCCCCGTATACTTTAAGTCAACTCTAGAGTCTCTACTTATTAACACCTAATATAGTGTAAATGCTGTGTTAGTAGTTGATATACTGTATTTTTTTGCATTTTTTATCATATTGTTTTTCATTTTTTTCCTCAAAAAAATTTTTTTGTTTTTTTTTTTTTTTTTTTTTTTTTTTTTGCAGTTTTTGGCTGGAGCTGGGTTTGAACCTGCCACCTCCAGCATATGGGGCCCTTTGAGCCACAGGTGCCGCCCTTCCTCAAATTTTTTCTATCTGCAGTTGGTTGACTTTTTTGATATGTAGGGTCCACTGTATATATTTTATGTTCCCCTCCCACCAGACTAAGTGTAACGCAAAAGAAAGAAACACTCCAGGAATTAAATGTCTAGTGCCTTCTGCAGAGATCAGATATTTTTTCAGAATACTGACAATATTATTTCCAGTTATTCCTTATAGTTCATAAACATTTTGAATTTTAAAAAGCAGTGTGTTCTAGCCCTAATGATTGGTGTTCTGTGTTAGACAAACCATTTGCCTTACTGGGCCTTCATCTTAATGGTGTTAATGGTTCTTTATCTTACTAGTTTTTTCATCTTAAACTTCCATAGAAAAAATAATCGAAAATTATGAAAACTTTGAATAATACTGGGTAATATATTATCCATGTAAATACTCAAATTTTAGTAAGTTATAATGTGCTGTCTTTACTTCATTTTCTTTGTAAAAGAGATAAGATGGGCGGGGCTTGATGGTTCACTCCTATAATCTCATCACTCTGGCAGGCTGAGGTGGGTGGATCTCCTGAGCTCAGGGATTCTAGACTAGCCTGAGCAAGAGCAAGACCTGTCTCTACTAAAAATAGAAAAATTAGCCTGGCATCTTGATGGGCACCTGTAGTCCCAGCTGTCCAGGAGGCTGAGGCAAGAGGATCTCTTGAGCCAAAGAGTTTGAGGTTGCTGTGAGCTGTGATACCCTGGCACTCTATGCAGGGTGATAGAAAAAAAAAGAAAAAACCAGAGATAATGTATGGATACAATTGAAGGTTCCTTCACTACCAAATCTTACTCTTCTTTGTCTTTGAAATTTGAAGTTGGACTAGACACCCATCTAAGGGTCTTTCCAGTACCAACACTCTGTGGTAAATGTTTTTACCTCCTATGATACTGAGGAGTATGCTGCCTGAAGATTTTGAACTTTTTCACAACTGAAATTCATTTTCCCCTTGTCTTTTTTGGTGAAATCTAGCAAGGGAGACTTTGGTTTCTTTCATCCTGCTTTCTCTTTTTTAGTTTAGAATAAAGTATTCTGCCAGTGACCAATATTAACTTTCTAATAGCCCTGAGCAAATACGCCCATTTCTTTCACAATTGGTGTACAGTGAACATCCAATCAGGATTCTCTCAGCTTTATCAGCCCATAGCTCTGCCTCTATAAAGTTTTGCTGCCTTTTATTTTTGTGGTTGCTGTAAAGAGAGCTAGAGGCTAGGAGTTTTTATAGTTATTGCACAGTATATCATCTGTCACCCTAATTCCTCATTAAAATAGGCAAAATATCTGAATTGGTTATTTTTGTTCTTTAAAATTATTGCTGGAGAAGTTTGCCTTAGTCATTTTAGTGTAAACAAATGGAATGTTAATTTAATAAAATAGCTGATATTTATGGTATTCATGGTATTGACAAATTTTAAGAAGAATAGATAGTTTTGGTATTATTCGAAAACTATTTGCTGAGTTTGGTCGTAGCAGTTTTTATTGTTGAATTTTCAAGTCTTGGAAAAGGGAAGAATTCATTGTGTAAAAATTTTACAGACCTAGCCATATGTGATGGCTTGTGCCCATAGTCCACTTGGAAAGCTAAGCCAGGAATTTCACTTGAGGTGGGAGTTTGAGGCTGTCATGCATCATAATTGCACCTGTGAATAGCCACTTCCCTCCCATCTGGGCAACATAGTGAGATCCCTCTCAAAAAGCTTTTACCTATCTGACCTTACTGTTCTTTTATGAACAAGTGATAAACTACATTGCTACATCTTAAGAGTATTTGACTAGTCTAAAGATTGGCTTTCAACCAGGGATGACTTTGCCAAGGAGATATTTGGCAATGTCTGAGATTTTGAGTAATCACAGTGAGAGCAGAGATGTGTAGTGCAAGGACTTGTAGTGGATAGACCCTGGGGCAGTTGTTCTCAACCTTCCTAATGCCAGGACCCTTTTGAGAACTGCTACCGTAGGGGGTCCTTCTAAACATCCTGTAATACAAAGGACAGTTCCCTGCAAGGAAGAATTATCCAGCCCAAAATGTTGGTTAAGAAACTCCGGTCTAGGAGAAGACTGAGAATGACTTCTGCATTTAGGGGAAATCTACTGGGTGCTGAAAAAAAACGTAGGAAAGAGTTAAAAAGGACATATTATTCTTATAAGATTTATCACTCAGAGAGGGCAGTATGTCTTAAGTGATGAAAAGGTATTGTGTCAGTGAAAAGTACATACATCTTTGCTTGGATGATATCAGAAAGCAGGAGTTTTTTTTGTAGTTTTTGGCCGGGTCTGAACCTGCCACCTTCGGTCTGTGAGTCTGGCACCCTACTTCTCTGAGCCACAGGTGCTGCCTGTTTTTTTTTTTTTTTTTGGTGGGGGGAGACAGAGTTTTACTCTATCACCCTGGATAGAATGGTGGTGTCATAGCCCACAGCAACCTCAAACCCGTGGGTTTGAGCGATCCTCTTGCTTCAGCCTCCCGAGTCAGGGAGAAATCCAGTACTCTTATGAGGTAGCAATGTAGTTTAACATTTGTTTCCAAAGAATAGTAAGATCAGATAGGTGAAACCTTTTTGAGAGGGATCTTACTATGTTGCCCAGACTGGAGGGCTTTGACTACAGATGCCCACCCCAATGCCTGGCTACTTTTTTCTATTTTTAGTAGAAACAGGTTCCACTCTTGGTTAGGCTGGTCTGTAACTCTTGAGCTCAAGCAATCCACCGGCTTTGGTCTCCCAGAGTATTAGGATTTACAGGCATGAGCCACCATGCCTAGCCCAGGAAGCAGTATTAAGAATCAAAATACCATGTTAATGTGATTTGCAAAAGATTGTGCTGTGCATACATTCATATATAGGTATTCACAATGAAATGCACAATAAACAGAAATTGTTGAGTGAGAGATGGGGAGAATTATTAAAATGTCTAGAATCAGGAAGTGTATTCTGGATACAATGAACTGCTGCACACCCCCACCCCCCCATTAAAGAAAAAATGCTAAGCAATTCCTATGCATTTTTAAAGTAGTTTAAATGCAATATCCTTTAAAAAATTCTTGACATTGTAGAAAAATGAGACCCTGATTGTTTACTAGCTGTGAGACTCTGGGAAAAGTATTTTAATCTTGTAAGCCTCAGCCTCCTAATCTATAAAATGGATTTATGACACTATGTGAGACAAATTATGTGAAAATCTTTTGTATTGTTAATAATGTTGCCAGTAGTAGTGATAAACAAACCTAGCTGAGTGGTGGAAAACCTCCTGCTTTGTTTTTATTTCATTTTCATGTATTTTTTTTTAACATCAGACTTCAGTTTCCTATAGAACTAA